ATCTAAAATATAGATTGATATATAATAATATATAGAATTGATATAATATCTTTGTTAAATATATTATATCATTATTATATTAGTATAAATTTATTTTATTAAATTTAATTTAAGCTGATATTTTGATGATTAGTTTAGTTTTCTATTTTCATAGACAGATATTTTTATAATATATATAATATTAATGAAAATATACTAGTCAAAAATTTTAATATAATAGAATAATATAAAAACAATATATTGTATATAATAACAAAAATTATAAAATTAGATATAAGATAATTAACTATTAATAAAATCAAAATAATATCTGTATAATATCTGTCTAATATTATAGACCGATAGAATAATAATATTAGTCACCAACTCTCTCTAACAATTACTTGTACCAACTAGTCTCTGAAAGCAAGTTAAAGATTCAAAACCAGAAGTGAACAAATAACTTGAAGTCTTCTTAATACAAACTGTTGTTAATGAAGTTCTAAATATAATATACCAAGAAGCAGGCATTTTGGATAGTTTGCAAAGGGATCAAGCTATTTTTTTTTTGGGGTGAACTTCTCTTTATATTTAGCATCCAAACCGGAGGAGTTTCTGGAAACAGTAAGTAGAAGGAAGACTCAAGTTGTTTTGAGAACAGAAGACTATAAAGAACTCTTGGAATAACACTCCTTGGTTAGAAAACTTGCAAAACTACACTTTTTATCTGCCACTTTCTTTTTTCATAATTTTTGACAAAAAGTAGGAGATTTGGCTACCCCTCTTCAAAAAATTAGCATTGTTTATATTTCTATTTTTTAAAGTCTCGAGTTACAATATGACAAATAAGAAACACAACAATCATGTATAAGGAAGAAGTTCTGTTTAAGTTAAATCGAAGTACATAGAAAACCCATGTTTGGATCGGCATTAACTATATAGGAATGAATACCTTATATGACAGACCTGAAGAAGTAGCTTCCAATAATGCTAGTTGACTATAGGGAAGACCCCCTGTTTAATCTTGTATAGCAAAGAAGCAAGGTTCAAAGTGAAGACTATAAGAGAATTTTAGAAAAGAGTGATCTGTTATAAATAGAACTGACAATCACATATCAAGGCTTTAAAATTAGCGTTCTAGGATTCAAAGTAGATTTCATAAGAGTTGCAAACTGGAGTGATATAATAGAGATATACAATATTCCGAGATCATATGCAAATAATTTTTAGCCCTTAGCACAGGTTAAAGTATATTTTAGTTTTATAGTTTCTTTTTGTCAAATAGCTCTATATATAGATTTCTACAACCATGTAAATAGTTTTTCACCTGGTTAGCAGGTTTTTATATCTGTAGATAAGTTCTCCTAGATTTAGAATAGTTTTTTTTTAGATTCCTTTATATTTTGATCATTTTCTTATGTGTTTCTTTTTTTTACTTTCTCTATTTTCATTTTACCCTTATCCCTTTTTTTCTTTTTTACTTCTTTATGAGAAAGTGTCATTAGATTGGCAGTACTCTATTATAGAATGGTGATTCTAACAAGGTCGGTGATTGTTATCTGTTGATATTCAGAGTTTACATTCTTAGAAAGTTGAGGATCCTGGAAAGAGAAAAATTGTTACTTAGGTAGATCGCTTTTGAGTTATACTCTAGCGTAAAATTTTAGCTTGCTAAAATTTTACTGCGATAATGAGATAAATCAAAAAAATTTTTATTTGAACAAGCATATAGTAGATTAGTACTAGATGGTAGGTTTAGCTAACTGAATTCTTGTAATAATTTACTGCTGATATAAAAAATAAAAGTAGGATCACTGAAATAAAAAAAAATAATAATATCAGTCACACAATATATTATATCTAAATTTTGTATATATAAACTTATAGCAAAAATATATAGAATTACATATAAACTTTGTTGCAATAATGTTTTTTTGTTTACATATTAACTTTAAATTAAATTTTACAAATAAATACATCAAGAAAAGGCGAAAAAAACACATTTTAAACTGAATAAAAATATTGTAATTTTGATATAAAAAACTTTTTTTTTATTAAGATAACTTTTTTTTATTCTCTAACTGGGGTTGTTTAGAATATAATTTTTTTTTTTTTAATATTAAAGTGATTTTTTGGTTGGTAGCTTTATTGATTATATATATTAAGCTAATTGTAGTCAGCTACTACTCATTTGGTACATAATTTTGAAGGGTATAACTAGCCATATATACAACTTTTGATTGTCTATTTAAGTAGTCTGCCCAAAGGTTCTATACTAGATATTATATCTATAATCCAACTAGGGAATTATCTATTTAAACCTTCTGCATCACTACATCCTTATGAGATAACCAATCCTGCTATAGAAAGCATGTTAATCTAGGGCTAATTTACCCTTGAGGTAAACTTGTTAGAGTTTTCTGTACTTACAATCTGGCTAATCTAGACTTTGATAACTTATACTGAGTCTGAGAACAAGTACTTGCAAACTGAGACCACTACTATTACCTACTTCTGCTCTTGTAGAGTTCATCCAAACCCCAGTATATACTTTTACAAACTATCATCAGTTTTAATCCTGACAATCTCAAACTACCAATTTAGATAACCCAGAAGGGCTGTAACCTGCTCCTAGTCCCTTTGATAGCCTGGTTAATGGAGTGTTTTGCCAAACACTTTAGTTCTATTTAGTTTTATTAGTTCTCTCAATGATGATCTTTTAGTAGTACTATCAAAGATCTGTACTACCTCTCTACTCAGGTTTTGCCAAGCAAGTATCCATCATCCTTCTTAGTTTTCTAGGTTTACTATAATTTGAAAGCTTATTTGTATAACTCATATATTATACAAATGCCTTATGATCTCCCAATCTTGTTGATGCCACCAAAGCTACAAAGATTTTCTAATCAATCAACAGAATAACAGTAGCCATTATACAGATAGAATTTTTGAAATTTATTATCAGTAGATTTCAAACCTCTATCTAGCCAACATATCACTTGGAGATATGATAACTTAATCACTTCACTAAATCACCACACCCTTGTTCAAAATATAATTATATATATAATTTTTACTTTAAATCTGCTAAATTTTTTCTTTTGACAAAGTTACATTTTTAAATTGTATTAAAATTGCAATATTTTTATTCAGTCTAAAATATATATACTGACGAAATTATTTTAAGTTTTGGGTACGAAATTAAAATTTAAAGACAAAATTGTTTTTGATCTATTTTATTTAAAAAATAAAATTTTTTGAACTTTTTTTGAAAAGACGAAATTATAAAGAATATAACTACCTAAATTAAATTTGCTCTTGTATATAAAAAATTCCAAATTATTCTAATAGAGACGAAATAGAATTTTTTTAAAAATCTATTTTGGTGGTATGTATATCTAAAACATGTTTTTTCATCTTTTTTTAATATATTTATTCATAAAATTTAATTTAATAGGCAAATCGCGAGTCATCTAAACAAATATTTTTTTTTATATGTAAATTTTATTATAAGCCTGAATGTGTAGCGCTTCTATCTAAACTTTTTTTTACTAAGTAAATCTCTCTTGGGCTTATAACAAAAGTTGTAAAGCTCATCAAGATGCATCTAATAGTAGTAAAAACGTTAAAATTGGCCTGGTGGTTCTTGAAAAATATTTAAAAAACTTCTTTCTTATATTATGTGAGAAAGAAGTTTTTTAAAGATTTCTCAAGAACCACTAGGCCAATTTTAATGTTTTTACTACTATTAGATATATCTTGATAAGCTTTACAACTTTTATTATAAGCCCAAAAGAGATTTACTTAGTAAAAAAAAAGGTTTAGATAGAAGTGCTGCATATTCGGGCTTATACAGTATAACCTCAATATAATGAACCTCGATATAATGATAACGAAGATTATTTCTAATTTTTGTGTTTAAATTAGCCCCGATATAACAAAATTACTAGTAAAGATTTGATATAACAAAGAAAATCCCCAGCTCCAGAGCTTCGTTATATCGAGGTTATACTGTAGTAAAATTTATATATAAAAAAAAAAAATTTGTTTAGGTGACTCACGATTTGCTTATTAATTGATGATTTGCTATTCAACAAGAGAATGATCTTAGTATAACGTAATATGAATTACTATATAAATTATATATATTTAGAATCTGGTGTTCATCTAAGTAAAACTTTTTCTTACTAAGTTAATCACTCTTCTTACTTAAGAGACAATTGTCGAGCTCATCAAGATGAATCTAATGATAGTAAGATCATCAAAATCAGTTTAGTAATTGCTAAGATATTACTAAAAAATAATTGGCTAATTATGTAAAATTTCTATAAATTTCTATATAAATAATAGTATATTTATATAGAATTTTACATAGTTAATCAATAATTTTTTAGTGATATCTTAGCAACTACTAAACCAATTTTAATGATCTTATCACCGTTAGATTTATCTCAATGAGCTCAACAATTGTCTCTTAAGTAAGAAAAGCAATTAACTTAGTAAGAAAAAAGTTTTTCTTGGATGAACGCCAGATTTTAGATATATATAATTTATATAGTAATTTGTATCATATTACACTAAGGCCATTCTCCTGTTGAGTAGCAAATCATCAATTAAAGTTAATATGTAAACGAAAAAACATTATCACAACAAAGTTTATATGTAATTCTATATGTTTTTGCTATAATTTTATATATAAAAAATACTGTATATATAAAATATATGACAAATTGGTTAATTGATATATTAAATTTTAAAATATTATTTTAAAAAAAATATAAATATGAGAATTATATTTTGGTGCACCCTGCACCATGGTGCACCCCTAATTATGGGGTATATATACAATCAGTGATCATTGATAATCACTGTTTTTTTTTTTTTATACAGTACTGTTTTTTTTTTTTTTCTGCTTTTTTTTTTTTGTACTAATATTGGTTTTTTTCATTCAAAGCTTTTAATATGTTGTTTGGATTTGGTAAGCATGTTTGTTTTGTGCTGTTGTCTTTGGCATTATCGCTTCAGTTATTAGCACGTTCGGTGTCGTTGATTTCGGCATCATCAATTTCAGCATTGTAAATTTCGGTGGGTAGGTCCTGATTACGTTTTGTGCTGTGAGTCGTTATTTGCATAGATTTTGTTTTCATCATTTTGCGATTTGGTGTTGTCAATTCATTTTGTCGCCGGTGCCTTGTTGAATTAGTGTTGCCTTTGTTGTAGCTGCCGGAACGTATAGTTTACTGTATTTATTAGTTGTTTCAGTTTTCAGATTTGTGAACTGTTATTAACATGTCTTTTTTTTTTATAGGCTTGTTAAGGGCGTCTTGGAGTTTTCCTTTTTCTTTTGAATGCTAGAATATACGTTACTAACTTTTTTCGTAAGATTTTTGGTTTTATTAGTAGTACTTGGTTTTAGCTTGTAAACGTGTTACTGATGCTTCCTTTCTGTTTATAGGTGCTGTTAAGGGTGTCTTTGGGCTTTCCTTTCGATATTGGTATCACCTTTCATTTTGCAGTTGTGATTTTTCTACGATTTGTTACTTTCAATATATGGGAAGTAGGATTTTTTTGTTGATTGTTTTCTATTCGCTTGTTGTTCTTTTGCATTTAACTAACATTCATTTTTCTCTTTCAAGCATTGATCTAAAGCATTCTGTAAACCTTTTGTTCCAATTATTGGTCATATCCCAAGAAGCATGATAAAGTATATCGTTTGTACTATGTAAAGTTCTGTTTTTTGGTCTTTTGTTACATCATGGACGTTGTGCTATATAAAATTCTATTTTTTGATCTTTAATTGCATCATAAATATGGTCTTAGTTTTTTCGTTGCTGTCTGATATTGACGTTTCGATATCATCGATGCGATTTCACTCTTGTTTTGTCATGTTTTAGTTTTGTTTTATAGTTAGTTAGTAGTATAGCTTAGAGTTAGGGTTAGATTTGTTTATTAGAGGTTAAGGTTTAATAGCTAGT